GCGTGTTGCCTCAACAGTCAGATTTTCTTGATTGGAATGCACGCAGGCCGTGTCACTCTGCGGCCCTCGATGTCTGTTGTAAGTAGCTGTGCAGGAGGGTGAAAGTGGATGGGGCACACTTCCCTTCACGTATGTAGAAAAGTAAAGGTGATGACTAATCCCAAATGCGCCACAATCAAAACCTGGGTAGATGAAGGTTAGTAAGCGGCAGTCCCAGCCGGAAATAGTTGCGGCCGCCTTTCTATTTCTTTACATGGTTCTGGGTTCACCATTTTTGTACCAGGTTTTAGTTGTGACCCAAATGGAGGTGTACTTCGGGTTGGGTGCTGGTGCCGTTGGATTTGGCGTCCACCATGGCGCTGCTTTTCCAATCGGCTCTGCGGGTCGGCTTCCTTCCAGTTGGTTTGCATGGGTGGTTTGGTTGACGTGGGGCCTCCCATCTATCTACAAGAACCACAGGTTCAAATCCAAATCTAAATCCAAACCAATCCAACCCACCAGTTGGGGCTTAAACCAATCCAATCCAAACCAAGGGCTTGCCCGAGAACTTTTGTTTTCTTCTTAAAGCAAAAAACACAGTTAGGGCTTGCCTGAGAACTGTTTTTTCCATTTAAACCAGCAGTTAGGGCGTTTTTTTTTCCATTTAAGCCACCAGTTCACGGGGTTGCCTGAGAACGGGTTGCCGTTCCGTTTCGTTTGTCTCAGCCGCCTCCGCCCGCTGAGGATGAGCTTGTGGGCCTCTTGGCTTTCGATGGCTGCGATGGTGACGCTCAGCCCCTGGGCTTTCGATGGAAACCGACTTGGTCTCTGACGAGGGCTCCTTAAACTCAGTGGTTCAAAGCCAGGGTGGTGGGAAGGGGATAAACTCCCCACTTCTGTGATACAAGGGGACTTCCTGTTTTTATGGCTCAGTTGGCTGTGGTTGTGAAAACTTTTGGCTGATCCCGTTTCGGTTGGTGGGTGAATTCACCACCCATGTTGGAACCTATTTTAGCGGGGATTGAATCCGATGTTCACTGAGGGTACGATTTGGATTTTGGCCCAGGGCCAGTTGTTCAAAGCCGATCTCTTGACCTTTCGGTTTTCCGCTTTTTGGCCCATCTTTACTGGAGGTCCCAAAAGGTGATCACCTTTTAATCCCAGGCCCTTTGGGCAAGTGGGTAAAATAAAAAAATCATTTGCCGGTGGGAAGGGGATAAACTCCCCACTTCTGTGATACAAGGGGACTTCCTGTTTTTATGGCTCAGTTGGCTGTGGTTGTGAAAACTTTTGGCTGATCCCGTTTCGGTTGGTGGGTGAATTCACCACCCATGTTGGAACCTATTTTAGCGGGGATTGAATCCGATGTTCACTGAGGGTACGATTTGGATTTTGGCCCAGGGCCAGTTGTTCAAAGCCGATCTCTTGACCTTTCGGTTTTCCGCTTTTTGGCCCATCTTTACTGGAGGTCCCAAAAGGTGATCACCTTTTAATCCCAGGCCCTTTGGGCAAGTGGGTAAAATAAAAAAATCATTTTGCAACCAGTTGAAACATGGGGCTTTTTTTTTCAACACCCAAATAAAGTTGGACACCACCATTTGCAAGTTGCAATGTTCAGGTGTAAAATGCATCCGGATCCCTGTCCTTTGAGCCTGGCGTTCTGCACACGGACGTGGACCCCTAAATTAGGCCACTGTTGGGCCTCTGCTTGACTGCCACTGGGCAACGGATCTTTAGACTTTAACTTTTTGGGAAACACGGGTGTTTTCCACTAAACCCCCCAAACAGTTTTTGTTTTTTCTTGTGAAAACAACACAGTCTTTTTGTGTTTTCCACTAAACCCCCAAACAGTTTTTTGCCTTGTTTTTTTGCAGGGGGGTCCTTGCAGGAACCAAGTCTGTTTGAAGGCAGCTCACAAGTGTCAATACTGCCAAATCAATAACTCCGCCCCCCCCCCCCCCCCGGCCCCCCACATTCATCCGATCATCTCCGGTCCTTTGTGGTTCGCCCCAGCCCCTGGCCAATAGGGCAGCAGGGAAGTTAGCCTGGAGAGGGCCAGAATTGATGAGGGGGTTTACTATTAGGGTGGGACATGGTGGGACTGCCCTGATTCATCGAACCCCTCCCCCCTCAACAATGGATGGCACTAAAACAAAGGATCCCCTCCAACTGAATTGGTTTAGAATTCGGTAGTATCGCTGATTTGAGTTTTCATTTGACTTAGTATTGCTGGAGCTTCCCTTGAAGTTGTTTTTGTTTGTTTGTTCGTTCGGCGCGGGAGTGTCAGTGGGCATCATTTCGGATTCGTTCATCGTCTCCTGCAGCTGACTGGTCATCATTTAGGGGGGAACTACCAAACGGAGGTGGCCAGTAAGGGATGGATTCGGGATGCTTGGCCGGCCCCTGAAAGTAGCATTGGCTGGCAAACAGGGAGGAACCAGGGGGGAAGAGGACAGTTCCTGTTTGAGGGAGGGTTCTTAATCAGGTGTCAACATCACTCTCTTGCCGCAGAAGCAAGAAACTCTGGGCAACCCATGGTGAGACATTTGCAGTTAGCTCTTGAAACGGAACAGGAATTGGCCCTGCCGTGGGCAGGAGTGAGGGCTTACTTTTGGCCATGGACTTGGAAGACTCCAAAATAAACTGCTAAGCGGAGTCTGTTTTAGGTTTTGGCTAACTCTGATTTAGTATTGGGAGATGTGGTGTCCTCGGAGAATACGGTCTCCTAGCAGGGTGCAAATGTCGATCTTGATAGCCGAATAGTATTCATCTATTTGGCCGTGGGGCCTAACCTATGGCTTCATTTGGGGGTGGAACACCCATGTACCACCTATTTTGATGTTTATCAGGGATGGTTTGGCTTTTGACCCACAGCCATTGCTGACTACGTGCATCATGTTAACCCCGGATGAATAAACCGCTGGTTGATTAGTAGGGGGGTGTCCTCTTTTCGTGGGGATTCATCACTTTTGGAGGGAACACCCCCCTAATAATGGGACGGGTTTATTAATCCTGGTCAACAGCCGTGCGGTCAATGGAGCCAGCAAGGCCTATGCGGAGCCCTGCTTGGCATCGTGATGGTGATCGTCTTCGGCGACGTCCATCGGATTTCCTCGAACTTTTTCCGGGGTTGGGATGGCCTGGCGGCGGGCTTCGCATTTGCTTGAGGTGCCAGTGAAATACAATACAGAATACGTATTAAAAAGCATTTCCCAGTGAGGGGTGTTGCTTACAAGCATCTTTGTGGTCCCAGGCCTTACGCAAATGCAAGATGCCAGGCGACATATGTCATTTTCAGAGGCTGCTTTTTCAGGGTGCCGAAAAGCCAACCAGTATTCATTGTCATATGTTTTAATCCGCCTGAACACGTTTGCCATTTATTTCATGCCTCCCCATCCGTCCAGACCGCGCACCTTAGCCGCATTAAGGTCCCTTTTCCAGCGTCGGGCGAAAAGACGACGCAAGAGGAAACATCTTATGCGCAGTGCGAGAGGGCAAGTGGACACTTGGTTCCTAGTCCAGATCCAGTTTAATTTTTTCATGCCTCCCCATCCGTCCAGACGCGTGCACCTTAGCCGCATTAAGGTCCCTTTTCCGGCGTCGGGCGAAAAGACGACGCAAGAGGAAACGTCGTATGCGCTGTGCGAAAGGGCAAGTGGACACTTGGTTCCTAGTCCAGATCCAGTTTAATGGCGGCACGATTCGGAAGAGAAAAGCAACAACAGCAACAACTCCTAGATCCAGACAGCACTTTCTCCATATCTCGGGCCTTCCATTTGATACACTGTGTGCGCACATGTGTTTTTGGTTTTTGGCCACGCTGTTTCTGGAAAGGAACCAACTTGCCGCAGAGGAGGCGGAATGCCAGGCAGCCAGGCTTTGAACCAACTTTGCTTGGTGACTTCCCATGCTCACGCAGTGTCGTGGGCAGGTGTTGTGACTAAAGCCAGAAGCTCTTGTCCCGATCCATGCCTCACTTTGATTGCGCTCGTTTTCGCAGTGCTGGGCCCCAAATGCGGGCGAATTGTCGCAGGAGCGTTGCAAAAGAGGTGGCCAGTTTGGGCGCACGTTGCTATCGCAGGTGGTGCCCACTTCAGATTCGTTGCATGTGGCTAGCTGCATCTGGATGCTAGCATTTGCTTTGCCATCTCAGGGCATCGCGAATGGTGTTGCATACGCAGCCCCCTACAAACTTGAACCCATGGATGCTGCTGTGACATGCTGGCCTGCAATTTGATGTTGCATGCTTTGTGATGACCCTTCCATCGAGAGGGTGGCAGCGCAAGTCGAGAAAATGCCGCTTGGGGGGGAATGTAAGAAATGCAAGCGGTGGGCGGTGGTTCCCCTCAATTCGCTTTGGTCCTCCCTACGTGTTGGCCAACGTCTTGGCAGTGGGCCCTTTGCCTGCAAGCCACTTGCGGTAGCTTCTTGTAGGGGGAAAGCAACAAGCGAGGATGGATTCGGGCACATGCAGGGTTGCGGGCTTTTCGTGTTGGGCGAGCTGCGCATCTTCAGAAATAAATCTAAATTAGTAAAAGGCATAGCGAGGATGCTGGAGAGAGAGAGAGAGAAAACAAACAAGTAAGTATGCATCTGGAATTTGGTATTGGGTTGACGCAAAGGAGCTTGGGTTTGGGTCCTGCACGCTTTACCCCCAAATAAGGCTGGGGCTGGTTTGGGCGAGAAATCCTAAAGTTAAGCATTGGTTTTGAATTGGCCCATTTTAAAAGTAGTATTGGGGACCGGAAAAGTAGTATTTATTCATCGGGTGCGATTGTTAAAAGGGGGAGCTCATGAATCAAGGGCATGAGTTGCGGCTCACAAAATATGCCAAACTCTTCGCCGTGAAACATTTCCGCGTGAGCCCACATGGCTATGGGTCAAAATCCAAATCGTACACCGAGTGAACATCGGATTCAATCCCCACTAAAATAGTTTCTAAACTGGGTGGCGAATTTACCTACCAACCAAAATGGGATCCCATGGGTTTTGACAACCACAGCCACATCACTTCAGCCCAGGTGTCCGGCAAAGTCCCGGCTCCCCGAAGAACGGCAAGAATCGCTTTGGCCAGCTCCAGCCTCAGCGCACTCTCTCCCACGAACGTGGCAACTGGTAGGGAAATGGTCCCTTGAAGAGGAAACTGATTTTCCAAGTACCCTGCTTCAAATGCCATGCTAGAGGGAGGGAGGGCCTCCCACCAACTAACATGGAAGTGCACAACCTTCCAACTTTCCGAGAGGAAAGCGGTTTTTCTGCAGGGGTCTGTGCACTTCCATGTTGGTGGGAGAACAGGAGGGTGATGTTGAATCTTGAGTCTACAAGAAGGTTCTTTGAGCCTTGTACCTCCTGCAGCGCGTTTCCCCCTTCGGGAGATTGATTGTTGGCGTATGCCAGCGCTTGACTTTCTGCCTTGGGCGGGCTGCGCAGCATGGGACTGAAAGAGGGGATAAGGCGCAGCCCTTGTCATTGGGCCTGTTCAGAGAACACTGCTGTCGTCTTGAACAAGCCCCTTGTCCACTTTACCAAGAAACGCACTTGTCCCATTTTTCTGGGCGTAATAATGGAAGCGATCCCATTTTTTTTCGTTCTTGCCCCTGCGGGTTTTAGCAAGGCAAGCGTGGTGGAGGAAACCACGCAAGATAAACAGACTGCCGCCGCCATTGCTTTGCTTTTGCCCAGGTGGCAGAAGAAAAGTACAGTTCGAAAAACGAATCCATCCCCCCCCCCCCCCCAATTCCCCTTGATGCGTCCAGTTTGTGCTGTGTCGCGGCTCCAGGATGGCAAGAACTACATCGGATGTTTTCCGACTTCCGGAGATTCCAGGCGCATGTGCAACCATAGTCCTGTGCAACCATAGTCCTTCGGCAATATGCACATGCATGAACGTTGGACTGTATGATTGCATAGGTTGACATGTGGGCGTGGTAGCAAGTGCTGGTGACCGTTCCATGACTTGACACAGTCATGGGGTGCTGTCCTCTTGGCATCTAGGTGCTGAACATGTTTAGCATAGTGTACCCTAGCACCTTGCGCCTTGCACCATGGAGAGCTGGCAATGGCTTTCTTTCTTGGGCAGCCTTTTCGGCTGCTTGGAAGGAAACGCAGAAACCGCCCAATCCTGGAGTTCCCTGCTTTGGAGACACCCAGATACTCTATCCCAGCTTGTATCTCCAAGTAGCATGGCAGAATCTGGCTTCACGCTTGTTTGCCCCTGGGAAGGCTTTGAAATGCCAAAGCGAATCGAGCTTTTGACCTTTTGGTTTCTCCTTTTTGGTCGAGTTTTAGTCATGGCCCCAAAAGATGATCACCTTGTATTTCTTGGTCCTTTGGGCAAGTGAGTTGGGTTGGTGGTATTTTGTGTACTGCGTGGCCCTGGGAACTCCTGGTTGTATTGCACTCACTAATCTACCTTCCCAGCCTTATCTGAGTGAATTATATTGTTTCACCAACCTGAAACTTGCGGTGGTTGGGGGGGTTATTCCCCACATCAACTTCGATTTGGGGTGGATTCGGTCGTGTGAGGTCGTGAAAAACATCACCCATGCTTATGGAAGGTGCGGTAACGGACCATTTGATCAACTGATGCAGCTACCCCAGAGTCAGTGTCATGTGATTATGTTTCGTGCTCAGCAATACTGGTGGAAGGGTGAACGTCTGAAGCAAACCACGGAAAGGTACCGTTTGCAGAGGCAGGGTTGTCCATTACAAATCCCAATGGAATCCTTTCATGAAAGCTTACTGCGAGGTCAACTTTTAGGTGGCCACAAAGGGGGTGTTTTCAAGTCTTTATGGTTTTGATCTGTGTTTGAGGTACATCCAGCATTGGTAAGCCATTAAGATATGCGAAGATTGATAGCTCATGCTACAAGTTCAGACTTGCCGTGATGAGTGCTTTTCTGCTGGAATTCCACCTTCCTCTTGGTTGCCCTTGCACCTTCTGTCAATTCGTCCAATGGCAGGTGCAGGAGATAAGGAGCAGGCGCGCTTCATGTCGCAATGAGTTGGCATGCCCGAGGCGTCGGAAGGATTGTTGGGCCCGGATCTCTCAACTGAGTGGCGGCGGTTCTTCCCTCTCAAGCAAGCATGTCCCGAGGTGGACATATCAACAAAAGCAGTAGCACCACACTGCAGCCGCAGAAGGTTTGCGGAAGGTGTTTTTTTCGCGGGAGGTGGTCGAATTGATTTGCCGGAATAGCAATTGCTCTTACCACAATTACTTGCAAATCGTGCTGACGTTCCCTTGCAGAAGCTGCCTTTCTCAATTTCCAGAAACAACTTGCTCGGGAGGCCGACGGAAGCACTTATGTAGAAGCACGCTCGTGGAAGGTACCCGGAAGCTTTGCGGAAGATTTTTCAAGGGAATAACACCACCGCTCAATTGTTGGCTTGCTCTTGTTTCCGCTGTCCCAGCAGACTAACATGGGGTTGGGTTCCCGATGTATTACACCCCACATTTGCAAAGTAGAGGGCTTATCAACGAAAATCGCTGCCCGAGAGCGCACAATCAAGGCAACACCACCCCGCCAAATATCGGCATAGTCAACCAAAGAACATGTCCACAACATCATTCCCAAACAGTCGGCGTCGGCCCATCATAGTTCAGCAGATCTGTTGCTGGCGGGAAATTCATAGGATTCCAACAACTGCCAAGGCAACTGCCTACTTTTGCATCCTTCATGCCAGGGGAAGGTGAGGCAAGGTCCACGTGTGGAACAGTGCGTGGGGGACGATCAGTTGCCATGGTTGTTGTTGGGAAACATTTTTTGTTACGTATTTTTGCTATTATTGTGGTTGAGTGGTTGAAATCCAACCACTTAACTGCTAAAGTTCGATATTTTTTGCTCCCCTTACAACGTCAACCAAGTATCACCGGGCTTACACAAGCGCTTGGTGTTTTGGATAATGTTGACCCAGGATTAACAAACCCGTCCCATTATTAGGGGGGGTGTTCCCTCCAAAAGTGATGAATCCCCACTAAAAGCGGACACCCCCTATTAATCAACCAGGGGCTTATTAATCCGGGGTTGACATTAGCCGGTTGCTTGCTTCGAAGGTCACAGGCTTTGCGTTGAGCAGTTCCTTTGGCAGGGAGTCGATGCTTCCAAAGTGGCTCCAAAAGGTGGGGGCCTCGATGCCTCGCGCTGGGTGGGATGAAAATGTTTGGCCTGGGAGGGGTTTAACAACACCTTACCTCTTCAAAACACAACTTTTCAACTGTTTGGGGGTAACATGGGCTATATGTCTGTAAAAGATTAACTTCCCCAGGGCTTGGAGTTGTAAGGGGTAAGTTTAACAACACGCACAAGTTTGGGCGGTGGTTTTGAATGGTCTTTGGAAGCATGTTGGCCAAGTGATTGCATGGTGGGCGGGTTCCTTTTGGGTCAAAGTCAATTTCCTTTGAGATGCTGATTCTGTTTGGGAAGGCTATGCGGAGGGAAGCCTTTTGTGACAAGGTCAAGCGAGACAGGCCTCAGAGAAGGGCCTGGTGCGGAGTGAAGGTCAACTGCTCACTGGAGGTTTTGGCTGTACGCCATGGCTTGCTGCGTTCGCAACGAGGTGCCGCGAAGCCAAAGTCCCGGCTGAAGAAGAGAAGAGACAGCGGACCACAGGCACTGCTTGTTTTGGGCGTGCCTCGCGCCAGCTGAAAGCATGCGGTCTGCTTTATTTGGCGGATTCCTATGTACATGCCAAGTCGGACAATAAGGCTAAAGTCGCCCTCGGATTGACTGCCAGAACAAGGGCGGCATTTGGCATGAACCCCATTGACTCTTCCTGAAACAAAGTCAACATATGTCAGCGTTAGGAATTTGCAACTGCTCTTGGGACTGACATATCACTTAGCTTGCGAACTTGCAGGTCTCTTTTTCTGGGGGCTGGGTAAGGATCGCATCGGCCGTCCAGGACGTTTCCATAGAAGCTGCTCAAGCTTTCTGGAACTTGACGACTGCAACAGAGGCGGGCCTTCGGATCCTGCATGCTGCATCGACTGGATGGGCCTTTTCGCGCGGTTTGCCGTCAGGCGCGTCAAGAGAAGCAGGCCGGCGGCTCGTGCAGTTGGGTTTGTCTCCGTTTTTTCGTTTAAACAACACCAAAACAAGTGTCCTCAAAACAAGACGGTGCTTTAATTGCGCCGCCTCCTCCACAGCTTGGTGTTTGCTGGCTTGTTGTGCCGACACGAAGTGGAGCTGTCGCTTTGCTTGCTGCTTCATCATGCAAGTGCGAAGGTAGCAATAATACCTAATGGCCTCATAATCCCTTTCCCCTAATAGCAAGAAACATCCCGTCTCCCCACTAGTTTAGGTCCGGTCATGTTTGGGTCCGGGCAGAGGGTCCCCGAATATGAATGGAAGTTTAGTTTTTAGAATTGGCCTCTTCTAATTTGGTACTCGGGATGCTGGGTTTTTGAAAAACTAAGCATGTTGTTCGGAACCTTTATTGAGCTTCCCTCTGATTGGTGGTTTGGTTTTGTTTGGTTTCCCATTTGGCCTCTACAAGAACCAGGGGTTCAAACCCCCACCACCAAGCCAGACCACCAAGAGGGAATCTGATTTCTTAGGAGGAAGTGATCAGGCCGAGAGGTCTTCGAGGGGCTCGCATGATTGGTTCGAGCTTCAAGTATCGAGGTTGGCTATGAGTTAGAGTTGGAACCCCTCCAAAGTGCGTGGTGGACAGAAATCCCATTCAGTTGATGTCCGCCAAATGGTCCCAATCAAACTTCAAACCCATCATATCAAGCTTATGGCGAGCTCACACTGAGGGTAAAAAGAGTTCACCTTTGCTTGGGGATCCCTTATTTCAGGTTTTGGACATCGTATCAAATCTCGGAGTATCGCAGCTCCAGGGCTTCCTGGTGAATGTGCAATCGCTTCGGCGTGTTTGTGTTTCTATTGAGGGTTCGCAGCTGCGCATAGCTCGTTGCATCAGAATCAGAAGATAGCTCGGGTTGTTGCAAGGCCGACAGGGCCTACCACCCAGCCAGCGAACCAGCGCACACCACGCGACGTCCTTTCCAAATCGCGCACTGGCGCCGCAGAAGCGAAGCGGAGCTGGTCGTCACGGAAGCACTGGCGCCAAGGACGCGGCGGTCGGATTTCTTTTTCTACAGCTGGAAAGTAGACGGCCCAACCCTGCGGCCCTGCGGTTCAGTTATCACCAGTAAGCCAATGGGGTTCGTAAAACTGCCAGTCTTTACCTAAGGGTGGTCATCATCCAAGTTGAGCCCTTGCCATTCTTTTAGTGGGGGTTGAATGGGCCACACTTCCCATGGTTTAGTCAGGCCTTTACTTACCCACAGAAGCGGAGTTCTGCCATGTACTTTCACCTGCGTATTGGACATGAATCCATTTTGGCCGCAAACGCCGTGTCTGTTCATGGTCATAATGGCTTCGCGCCGGAGCTTTTGCAACGTCCAGTCATGCAATCCTGAGAATCACCAGCCAGAGTTTTGCTCGACTGGCGCCCTTTTGCCGCAAAGCACAACCCGCCCTTGGGGCCCAGGCTGTTTATTGGTGCCCAGACTGTTTCTGCAGGTAGCCCTTGTGCTTTGGAAAATGCTTTCTATTTCTGCTTGTTTTTGCCTCATCGCCTCCTCCCTGATCTCAAAGATCACGCCCCATTACGTGCTAATTGCGTGGTATCACAATCTGGCCAAGGCAGTGCGAGATGTGTCATAAGTTCATGTCATGAGAAGCTTGCCATACTGTGGATGGACGAAGTCCTGCACCAATTTGAAGCCATGGAAACCATTGTTTGTTGGCATTTGCAGGATGAGCGTCATTCCAGGGTTTCTTAGGTAGTGCGAAACGGATTTCGTCCATCCACAGCATTTTCTCGGGTGCACTCAGTTGTTTCTGGCGGAATGTAGCGCTTTTCCAGGAGCCATTGACTCAGGATCAGGCGCCCTTTTAGCTCGCAACCCCCGATCCATACTGAGCGTACCGGGGCACCCACGTATATGTTCCTTTATGTTTGATCTATGTGCGTCACCCTGTTGGGCCAACTTAATTTACATTCCTTTTGAGAAGAGATGTTTGAAGCGGAAGTATAGGGAGTCCTGATGATCTCACCTGCATGCCACTGCCATGTCAGCTGGTCATGTCTTGGGCTGCGCAGGACACATCAGATGGGACCGCGGACCGCTATAGAGGCTCTCCATCTGGGCCTGGTGTTCCTGAGCTGCCCGGCCAAGGGGTTGACGGACAGGAATCGGAGGCTTTCTGTGACTGGTGGCAGATGGCCGCCAAGGGATGGACGAAAAGCGGAGGGTGCTAAGAATAGATTTGGCCAGGAATGGGCAAGGAGAACACGGAGTCGGATAAGGGCATTTCAAGCTGGGGATGCAAGGGACACTGGCGGATGTTCGCTTACCAGGGCGTCGCTCGGGGGAGAACGGCTGCGGCAAAACGTTTGGGTCGTGGGTAATTGTCCTTGCTACCTTTTTATGGGAATGTTTCTAGTGGGAGGGTACGCCGAGGCTGGCAAAAAGGACTGGAAACTCCATTCTTGTATTCTTAGCACAGCTCTGTTTCCTCCTTGTTTGGCACATGTGGCAGAAACAGGAACAAACAGGGTTGCGGCAACTCCACGTCGTTTGTTTTTGTCTTTCTTCGGCGCTCTTTCTCATGTGGGGCCTAGCTAAACCGCCGCAGGCCTTGTTGTGTTGCCTCTGCTCTGCCGCGAGTAAGCGGGACGCTGGGATCAGCGAAGGGCTGTCTAGGTTCTTGGAGGCACGCCGCTTCTTCACCTTTCACGTACGACTGGAGCGCGTCTTTTTGGAATGGGCAATCATGTTATTGTATCATCCTCTGCTTGTGGCCCCACTCATCTTAGTTTTTAGTTGCGGGGCCATGCTTCCTTGACCTTGTTCAAGACCGCAAACTCATACAATCACGAGTCCAACGGTGTCGAGAAGGAACCCAGGGACCTGATTTGAACAATTTCTAATCCATTCAATATGGGACTTGTTTGCAGTCCACCTTGTCCATAGCCTTTGAGACCCTTAGCGGATGTCCACCAAAGTGTCCCCCCAATAAAATTCACCCCCACCCCACCATTTCCCAGCCCACCCTACCCCAGCTCATTTTGGTGGGCAACGGGAAGCCGGGCCTCAGAAGCCGGTTTTCTCCACGCCGAGGCTGTCACGCCGCCTGGGCATGCCGCAACAAGTGGCCAAAGAGGCGCCGGCGCAGAGCCGTTTGGGGTCTTTGGGGAGACGGAGCGGGGGTGTCCTTTGTGGCAGGGGTCCATGTTGATTGTTCGGTCCACCCCAAACGGTTCACCAAGAAAAGGAACTAAACAAATCCTTTGTGGTAGGGGTGTCCTTTAAGATTTGTTTGGTTTCATGTTGATTTGCGGTCCTCTCCGTGGTGAATAAGTTCCGATTGGCAAGCCCGGGATCAAATAGGACCGCGAGTTGCGGATGGATGTGGGGACCACAGAGAACCCTGATGCACGTTTCTCGTTCAACGGTCACCGTTTGGCAATCACATCAAAACCCCGCGCGCTCATAGTTCCCTTGGTTCGTGGCACCCTTTCGATGGTTGAGTTGGGCTGAAATTAGGGGCTGGGGACGGCAGCTTTGTCAGACTTTGAATAAGAAACAGTACCCCATTTCTTTTCGAAATATCTAAGGGTCCTAAGAGTAGTGGCAGTCAAGAGAAGCGGCGCCATCGTTTTTGCTTTGAATGCAGTTATTTGGGTGCTCTTTTTTTTTGCGGGGGGGGGGTGCCCGTTTTAGGGTTTGTTTAAGCCTTAAACAAACCCTAAAATGGGCACCCCCCCTTAAAAAAAGAGCACCCAAACAACTGAGCAACAGGCTAAACTCTCCGTTACTTCTTTATGCATTCGGGCAATTTAGCGTGAGGAAATCTATCGAAACCTTGTGGAACGATATAGGGAACCCCCAAAAACGATAAAGCATGCTTTCATGATGTGGCAGACGATGCTTGGAGCGTCTCGCGTTTGGCAGCTTTTTTTTGTGGCCCAGAATCCCAGCCATCATGTCTGCGCCTCCTGACGCGCCCAGCATATGTGAGATCGGGCTCTGCGGCCACGCAATGCTGTTTGTTCCGCGAACTTTGGCTGCCCAAAACAATAACCGACACGATAACGAAACGATAAGCAGTTCATTCGGAAAATCGTCTTCGTGAGCAGTTGCCCATAACGGTAGACTCGGAGTCAAGGCAAATGCCCGGAGTAAGCGGAAACACGCAGCTGCATTGCCTGCTGACCCAATGGAAGAGTCTGAAACAGAGCTGTGAAGCCAATGTGCCGTGACAATAACACGCCAGTGCGCGCTCTCCATGTGCCAGAAACCTGCAAAACGATATAGGGAACCCCCAAAAACGATAAGACTGAGTCCTAAATCACTTCTGTGCATTAAGGTTTTGCCGCTCGCTCAACTGCATTCAAAGCAAACACGATGAAGTTTAAGGGGAGCCAAAAGGACGACGAGGCATTTTCGAGGTTCCAATCCATTTTGAGACCCCAATTTAGGCCGTCGCTGCTCAATAGGCAACTCCGGCTCGTGCCGATGGAGCCCCATTTTGTAATCGAGCTCATCAGGGGTACTCCTCAGTTGTTCAAAGCCGACCTTTTGACCTTTTGGTTTTCCACTTTTGGAACCCATATTTAGTCATGGTCCCAAAAGGACATCAACTGGTAGATGGGCGCATGCATGCGTTTGTCTTTCCAAGGTATCCAACGGGCCGGCCACAAGAGCGGAGAATACTTGGGAGGTTATCAAAATGGTAGACTTCCTTCTGGCACGAGTTGCTAGGCCGCACAGCTCTTCCAGCGGTTCGCGGATATACCCAGAAATGGATGCTCAACAGCACTTGGCATCCCATGGTCAGGCAAGCTGTTCTTTGGGTAAGACGGAGCTCACGCGCCCATATCAGGGCATACGACCACACATGACAAAACGGCGCAGCAGCGGCACGGTATTGCAGATCAAGGATGCTGAGTTGTTGTTGCATGTTTATTCGATGCATATTCTGCTTAATTTTGGTGTGGGCGTAGTTGCATGATTCACCGACACCTTACCTTGGGCCGGTGAGGTCCACTGTTTCTTGGGCTTCGTATCAGGTGTTTTCTGGTGCAAAAAGATGCCCATAGGAGCCGAGTCAAGTTGGCTGCTGCTGCTGTTTTTTTTTTTGGTGCCGTTGTGATTCTTTGCAACTAGATGTTTGTTAGCGAGCTACAAAACCTCAGTGCCTCAGTCAGCTTGCAGTTGCAGTGTTCAACCAGGCGAGGATGGGAAATTGTGCGTGTCACTTCATGAACGGTTCTGTTTGTGTTTTGGAACGCTGCCCGGAAATATGTTTTAAAGGTGGTTCGCAAGAAAGATGTACTTCCTGCATTTGTTCTTGGATTCCTGGGTGGACAATGCGGGTGTATTTTGCACGTTCAAGTGCACGTAAAACAAACAACCGCAATCTGCTAAATGGTGAACCGTTTCAGGCCAAAGGCAGGGTTGCTTGAATTATTTTTGGTGGCTTGCGGTTTGCGCGGCACACGCACACATACGCCCAGAGACACACACACGGTACCCAGGCGTCCAATTTCCAGGTTCCACACAGTTTCCACACAATTTCCACACGGTTTGCAGGGTCATAGAGGTCTCATGTTTTTTTTTTTTTTTTTCCGCGGATTCCGCGTGTTCTATCGTTGCCGCCGTTTCCATGCATGGTTTCCAGTGCCCCCACAGTTTGCATAGTGTCCATGGTTTCATGGAAGCTCATGCTTTTGAGTGGCATTTGGCAGGCGCGCATGCTTGCGTGTGTTATTGTGCCGTGCTGAGCAGGCGGGCATGTGCGCAGTGCTGAGCGGCGGCTCGTGAGTCGTGAGCACACCGAAAAAGCCATTATTTTACAATGCATGGATCCAAAAAGCGGTCGTCTGTCCACACACCGACCTTGACTAGCGATGTTTGGAACACGTGGACAGACAACTCCATCATGTTCAGCGCACGGGCCCAAAATGGCGACAAGTTTGCAACACATAGACTTCAAAGGGCGGTGATTGTCCAAAACACACACACACACACCCTGCTAAATGGCAAGCGAGGCTTGCTCACAAACTTTCGCAACACGCACGCACACTTTGGCGCGCGAGCCAAATGAAGCAAGTAAAACGACGGCCCTTCCGCTTTCGAGTCCGCGTACTGGGCTAAGGAGGCATATTCGATGGCAAGCTGAAGATTGCCCAGCTTGAGAAGGTGGGGCGTGGCCGGAAGAAGGGGGCCAGGCCATCGACGGAACAAGTTGCATTTGGGAAACTGGCGCTGTAGTTCCTAAGCAAGAGGTTGAAAAGGGGGACGGGTCTTCCAGATTGCCAAGCTCGTTGTTTGTTATTGTTTCACGGCCCCACAGCCACATGTTTGCCTTCACCCCCGCGAACCCGGCGGGTCCGAAAGATTTGGCGAAGGGACCCCCACCAGAGCTTGAAGGAGCGCTTCGCGCCGACATGAGGAACTCAATCAGCAAAGCGTACTTTCCTACGCGTCCATCGTTCACATTCGGTTGAACATGTGACGCATCACGCGTCCCTCCCTCCCATGCCCCCCCGCCCCCCACGCAAAGAAAAAGTAGGTCGTTGGCGGCTTGGGAAGCCGTTTTGAGTTGGAAAATGCCAGGTCCTGGTGGCCCTTTGTGCCTTGGCGCAGGAAAATTGCATTGGGGCGGGCAGAGCTCAATGGAAACAGGCAACAAGCTCCGGGTTAAACAACCAAAGGCGGATCATACTGATCGATGTGTCGCTCCCCCTTTTGTAAGGAACATATCGATTCTTATAGAGGTTCTCTGATTAAGGTCCTCAACACGAATCCGAAGTTTTTGAGGAGAACGCTCGCTGCATGTCTTTTCTGCTTGCCGCCACTGGCGTCTCTGCCTCCGCTGGAGGCAGCCGTGCACCATGCAAGCTGCATTGAAGCCCATGGTCCCATGAGTTACTGGACGTACACGCGGCAAAACGTTACGTGAGATGTAGGACTCTGAATGAGCCAAGGTCAGTGCAAGTGGATGGTGATAGTCCAAGAGTTTTTTGCAGATTTCCTACTTTTCACTCGGGAGCCCCCCAGCTTTGCTGCTATGCACGTGCAACCCTGCTTTCAGCTCAAGTCAGCCCACTGGTTCGGAAGCTTCGGGGGCGGCCACATGAGATCGCGTCTCAAAATGGAAAACCACCCAGACAGAAAAGAAGGACGAAAAAACAAAACCAAGAAACACACGACGAGAAAAGCCACAGAGTGTCCTTTTTCCCTTTGGTTTCCCTTTGACCCTTTGGTTTCCCTTTGACCCCTTGGCCTCCCATTAACACAACCTTTAGCCCAATCAAAACCAGGGCGCCGTTGCGAGCGAGCGAGGCGACGTGGGGGACGTCTCGGAGCTGTCGAGCGACTTTACGGAGCGGGCCTTCAAGGCGGCGGACCGCGACACAGGCGCCTCGGCGGGCGGCGTGGGCGGGGTGGGTGGCGGTGGGGGGGGTGGCTGTGGGTGGGGGGGCGGCGTGGTGGAGTGGGTGGGTGGTGGGCAACGGGGAATCTGATTTTGTTGCGTGCTGCCAGGCATTTTCCGCCTTGAAAGCCTTCTCGGGATTGCTTTCGGGAAGGTTGTCTGAATTCCATCAGAGGTTGATGCTATTGGATAAACAGCCGCTACCAACAGCCATTTTGGCTCGAGATCGGATCGTTATAGCGACTCCTGGACTTTTCGACGCAAGATATCCGCGATGCTGAAAAGTGGAGTCGCCCCTCACAGCGCACTTGCGGCCTTGAACACGACAACGTCAGGAGAATGCACGACGCTTGCTTTTCCGAAGCCAGTCAAGAGGTTTCTCGCCATAGCCCGGGAGAAGAGCTCGTCGAATACAGCGAGATGGGAAGGTCTGGGCTGTGTGTGAGATGCTATCTCGCTATCGAATCCTCGCCGGAAGGACTGGGTATGACTGGGTTCACGAATGCTCACGAGAAGGGAAGTGGAATGGAGTCCGTTTTGGCGCTCGTCACTTATGAGGGGCCCAAGGCCCAAGGCCTTGAACTTGGTGAAAGGAACTTTTCGAGCAACGTGCTCGGGGACGGACATCATACCAGTGACGGCTACCCCGCGTGAAGCCATCCGGAGGATGTCTTCACGAGAACGACCTTCAAGACGGTCTTGTCGGAACGGGACAAGTTGAACAAGGACTTAAAGAACGAGACGATGTCGGTCACCCAGGCAGGAACATGACTCATTGATTTTGGCAATTACTCTACGAGCATTACGAGTCGATGACGAGAAGATGGTTGGTACCTATGCGCTGAAGAGCGGCAGTCGGATCGCATCGAAAATCGATGGTTTCCTTCCCGAGCCTGACGATGACATTTTTCCCGAAAATCGCGAATGTATAGGCTGCTCAGCTTGCCGTCTCTCTCCAAACTGCCCTGTTGCCGTCCTCGATCAAAAGCGCTCAACCTCCAGAAATCTTCAATGAGGTCAGCCTTCCCCTTTGCAAGCCCCCAAGTCGTGGCCATCCCACCCATGGCTAATTTTCTCAGCGTCAGTCACCTCATGCTCCGTCCAAGACAAGATTTCTGAGATGAAGTTGGTTCAGCTGGAAAGATGCGCCTGAACTTTGTCCCGGGGCTTGATGCCAGAGAAAGGGAACCTTCAACTTCAGGTCGATGGAAACGGAAGGCCAAGGCAGTGGGCCGAAAACGTCAGGAGTCCTGTCAGGAAAGCTCCAAGTGGGAAGGGCTGACTTGGGACTCTTCAGGCAGGCACCGAGACTTTGCGATTTGTGGTGACTGGTGAGGCTACCAAAATTGTATGTGGGTGGATTTGAAGGCCATTTTGTTGCTGGCCCACAAGATTCTCAGCGCAGTTGTTGGGGGGTTCACTTTGTTTCGTGATGCCAGTAGGGCTAGTCTACCTTTCATTGTTTAGGGGGATCGCTTTACGGAACCCTACCTTTGGTGTCTCCCCTTCGCAATTTTGAGTCGTTCACTTTGGGATGTATTTGGGTATGTCATCGTATCCCCGCCATGAACATGAAAGGCCTTGTTTGGCCTCAAGCCTTCTACAGCCACACCGTTGATGCATCACGGGAATAATTACAAAACCTTTGTTGAATTCGAAAGCGGGAGATAGGACTCACACGGAGCTGCGACGGAGCGGTCTGGTCGTCAGATGATTTGATGTCGGAAACACGGAGCAGGAGATGCGGCAGGGACACCCTGAAACTTCAAGAGCTACACAGACACGGAACCGGCGATCCGGCTGTTTTAGCACGTAGAGGCCAAAAGGTGTCGTGGTGAAGTGTGACTGTTCAACTTGGTTGCTTGTTGGTGAGACATGTAACCTTTCAGCTCTTTGGGACAACGTCTTTTACTCATCAACGCATCCAGTTTTTGCGGTCAAAGACTGACCTGTTACACTTTCTGCAAGACTTCTCAATTCTTATTGTTTGCCTGTTTGCTTGAAAGGGCGCATTCAGCTCTGATGCGGGCAGCTTGCAGGAGTTTGACGATGGCCAACCTTTTAGCATTTGATGTTCGGTGTAGGTGGCTTTATCGACTTGGAAGAGTTTGCGGTTTGGTACTCCTCCTTCTGCTTCGCAGAAGAGGCGGGGTGGACAAGGCTTAGGGCTTAGGGGCCTAGTTTGAAGCCCCTTTTGCCCAAGCAGCTTTTCAACTCATCATTGACATTTAAAATTTGTTGGTACATGATCACCAAGGTATGTAAACAACTTGTGTGTGTGTGTGTGTTTGTCCCCTTGCACATTCTGTTTTTTGCCTGCAAGCCAGTACCAGTGCGCAGTTTGCACGCACGCTTATTCTGCCTGCAGTCGCCCCAATGACGCCTGTGGAATGCCGGCGAACGAACCAACTGTTTGGTTCAAGAAAGCTGCGACAAGCGTGGCATGTGTTCACGTCAAGCCTAGATAAGCCTGGCACAGCAAAGTATACCGTACGTTTGGACTTCTTTGTTTACGTGTGCACTTGTTTGATTTTATTGCACTCAGTAGATGCACGGGGGTGTCTAGTACGAGTGAATGAGCTTCTGACCAGCGACATGCCCCTGTCAGTAACCAAGCTTCCCAGGATATGATATGCCAGGGCATCCCATCCGATGACATGTCCGAATTGTGAGTTCCACCTTTTGCATGCCATTGGCGCTCGGCGCGTGCGCGAGTCCACTCAGGTGTCAGTTCAGACTTGTGCGCATTGCAAGCAGCGCATCATTCCGCAACGTTGAAGGGTGAGTTCATAGCCAGTCGTGCCAGTCAGAGGCGCTGATTTGCCTGCTGTAGAGTGCAAGCTCGTTGTGTATATGTTTGTTTTGGGCGAGCGGTCCCCGTCAAAGCTACCAGGACCTTACAAGCAATGTGTAGGACCACATTTGTTTTGGTGAGGGAACACGTAATGAATGAGTAGGGCACCCTACTTGATTCAAGAGTAGGTCAAATCGCCCCCCGCCGCGCCTCAAAGGAACACACCCACAGTCGTGCCACACGCATGAGCTACTCCCGACCAAGATCCTGAGGCGTAAGGCTTGCGAAGACTGTGCAAGCCTCAAATTGTGGCAGAAAGTCAAAAACCCCACAGGTGTCCTCTTTAGTTTTTTTGTTTTTGCGAGAAATCACGGGTTGCTTGCCGGGAAACGGACCAATTTGTTCAAAAGGGACACACGCTCACGAACCCCGAAACTCAGTTGTTCAAAGCCGACCTTTTGACCTTTTGGTTTTCCTTTTCTGGTCCATATTTAGTCATGGTCCCAAAAGGTTAACCTGTTGATTCCAGGTCCTTTGGGCAATTGAGGAACGGATCATTTGTGGCGAACTCTCCAATCCCCAGACTTGGGTTCGTTCGTTCGTGCTCCGGGTGTCGGGTAGGTCACCGTGAAGCCTCAAGTCCGGCAGACACGGGAGCTGGCGCGGCAGATGGGCCTGGAAATCTGTGGCCTGGCCGAGAGTGACATGGTTGCCGTTGGGACTAGCAAAGGTCATGCATGGGTTGACCAGTTTATTTTGCTGTTATGATGCATGTTGATGCATGTTGAATGTTGTGAGTGCTACAGATTCCGGCTCATCCAAAGAGGGTCCACGCCTGTAGCAGAAACGCCGTCGGGGAATCCGTCGCGGCATTTGTTTTTGCGCAAGTGGAGTTCCTCTTCCACTTGTTGAAGAATAAATGCTTTGAATCGCAGCATTTGTTTCCATGTTTTGAACATGTTTTGCACAACTGGTTTGACTGAAACCTGGGGAGTGGCTTGCCAGAGGGCACCAGTACTGCACCCGTGAGCACTGCACTTTGCGATGGCTAAGGGGCCATCGAGAAGTTCAGGCGCGCCAATGCATTGGGGGCGCCATTGGGGGTCCGGGTAAGGACATAGTATTGCTGCAGGCTTTTTTTTGAGTGTATCCTTTCAATTGTTTGAAAGGGAAGCCCAAAGCAACCCCAGACCAAGGGTTGTGACCTCATTGAACTGGCAAGTCTTTAGGGAATCAAGCATAGGTGTCCTTTTTTGGTTAGTGTGGTCAAAAATAGAAGGCACGGATGGGTTTTAAAGTCCATTTACCAGGGAAACCCATCTATTTTTCCAAAAGGACACCTATGGGTAAGGATGGGCCCAAGCTGACTCGTTCGGTGGCTTAAGCGCCTTCACCGGGAGCCCAAGCGAACTGTCGCGGCGGGTTTTTTGATGCCACACACAGGGAACACAGAAGATGTCAGCCAAGTGCTGGCGACAGGCTTGCGGCATTTCAGCAAATGTGTTGTCGACTCTGCGCAGTTGTCCCCATTGGTCCCATTGGTGGTTGCATGTTTGGAGGGTAGATGGAAAACCCACCTAAATCACAAATTCGAGGGAAGCTGAGATGTTACACTCGTCTAGCTAGTCTAGTGGGGCTAGCAGGTCTCGTGACAACGGAACAGACGGTTCGTTTGCCACGGCTGTGATCACCAGCCAATCCATATTAGAACAAGTAGCATGCTCCTAGGGCTGTCAAAACACGATTCCTATTGCCTTTGTGGAATCTTGGCTGGTTGTTTTGGGCCTGGAAAGGGCCATCCTCCTTTTCAAATGGCTTGCCTTTTCCAGGATATGTACTCAGCCTTCCCTGGTAGTGTAGAAACCCTTTCCCAGACTGTTCATTTCAGTGGAGAAGGCCACCCCCGCTCAACTGCCCCGCCACTCCATTGGGCACGGCTTCTCTTGGCGCCGGATTTGGCCCAACGGCTTGTCAGGGTGGCCTTTGACAAGCCCGGGCCTCAGCCTGGCTGGGTGTGGGGGGTGGTTTTTGGGGCCTTTGTTTGTGGCCCTGGGCAAAAAGCCATTCGCGCCAAGCAGAAAAGGAGTCGGAAGTCCAGCTCTTGGCAGACGGCGTTTGCGCGGAAGTGTCTAGTCGAGTCAGGTGGTAGTCACAGATTGGAATGGAAGTATCCACATGTACAGTAGCTCGGTGGTGGTGCGGAACCCTTGCCCTGTCTTGCTTACCAAGGCCGGGCTGGTCACAGAAGTTTCCAGAGACCATTGCAAATAGCTACTCAAGCAAACCAATACATTGGATGTTCATTGTTTGCAGGTGCAGTCACCTTGTCGATTAGCCAGGTTGATGAAACCGAGCTTCCTGCAAAATAAATGTCTGTTGGCTGGCAGCACTGTGGCATGACACGGCATGCTTGGCTCCTTGGGCAGTTGCTGTCCGATATGTCTCGCGCTGACTAGGGCTCAGATGCCAAATGACTTGGTTGTTGGTGTTGCTGTTTTGTGAGCAATCTAAGTGGCACTGCCTTTTTAGCACCTCAGGCAAACTCACGAGGAGTTCCTTGAGGCCTTTGTGCTTTATGTCTCCCCACGTTTTATGCTTCTTTCAGGATGCGGTCTTCCCATCTGCGCGAATATCCAGAGACCCGAGGAAATTTGTGTTGCGGATCTCATCGTACCCGAGGTACGATGCCGATGGCAGTGGGGAGATCGAGTTCGATGAGTTCTCGGACATGGTCCAAGAATTGCTGAAGGCGACGCCGCGGGGTCTGAGACACAGCTGGGTGATTTTTTTCACGACACACGACCGAAAACAAACCCCAAATGGTGGTTTTATGTGGGGAAGAGCCCCCCAACCACCGCAAGTTTCAGGCTGGTGAAATATTATCAACCCAGATGACAGCCACCGCGGAAAGTGTAGAGCAAACACACAGAACCGCGAAGAAAGTGGCAAGAACAGCCAAGAAAGTGACAGCAACAGCAACTCTTGGCACGGCCCAAGGAGCTTCCGAACTTGCCCGGAGATTGCTACTGTATCACTCCCTTCCAGATGTTTAGTCCCGAGATCTGAGCATGCTCGTATGGTTGATGCCAAACAATCCCCGTCCGTACATGTGACATTTGGTGGCGCTGACTTCTCCGGCCGCTCACCATTGTGCTTTTCATTTCATGTTCTGTCACTCTTGCGACGAGCGGGAGAGAAACCAGGAAGTTGGGATTCCTCAAAAATGGGTGTGCCCAGGAGACCGCCCAAAATGGTGGTTGTCCCTTTGTTTTTTCCTTTCAACCCACCCAGGCAGGGAGGATGTCTCCCACCGTTTTGGCAGATACCCAGCGGCCACGAACTGCCCTACGACCGCCTGATGACCATGTGGCGCTCAGCAGACGCTTGGATGGGAAAACGCAGGCCCCCCCCCCTCCTGGCAGATTTCGATGGAGCCCCAAGAGCCACCACCACCACCTCTACCACCACCACCACCGCCACCGCCACCATGTTTAGCGCAATTTGCTTGGGAGGAGCCCGTTGGGTTCCAGGGCTTCCCTTACCTTGGTAGCAACCTGCGAGGGAAGTCTTGCCGCCTCACGGAATTGACACCAGCACGGGCTGTGCAAGCGACGCTGCTGTGGTCAAAGCTCCTGAGCAAGAGGACCTAAGATGGAGCCTTGTCCCTTTGCCGAGCAGCAAGCTGGGCAACATTCTGGACCGAAGCCTACAGTGACAGAGGCACAAGAAACAGGTGATGCGCAGCAGCCCTTTCAATTGTTTGTTTGTCAGCATGCGTGTGATTGCAAAAGGCAAGGCACAAGACATTGTCCAATCACGCGATTCCAAAGCCTCTCCCAACCAGTAGCTTGCGCAGATGTGTAAGGTCAGGGCCTTTTTGGCAGGTGCCTCTTGCGTGAGAGGTTTCATGTGGTTGATTTGCCTTGTGTTTCAATCAAATGGACGGCACCGAGGACATGCAGCAGAAAGGCTTTCTCGATTTTAAAGAGTTCTGTGCCTCTTGGCTGCAAAATGCCAGTCCTAACCCCACAGTGCAGGCAACAGCCGTGGACTTATATCAGTTGAGCATGCTTCATGCTTGGAAGAGTTGACAGGGCTCCTTCAAAGATACATTTTGCAACCATTTGAAACATGTTTTTTCAACACCAAAATAAAGTTGGAAACCACCATTTCCCAGTTGCAATGTTCAGGTGTATAATGCATCCGGATCCCTGCTTGAGTCCGCAGTCCCGTGGCTGTGGGCTATTGGCTGGCGAGACATGCTGAGCAGATTGCATGTCCGGCCTGAGTTCTTCTACGTGCGCATGGTGTCTATGGAAGAGGGGTGCGACCCTATCAGGGACTACTACCGCAATGCCGCTGGCTCAGTTTCTTGGAAGCTCGGACCGGGGGGTTGCCCGTTGAAAGTGCCGACAAACAGCCGAAACATGGCATCAAAGAGGCTTTGCTCAATGTTTGCGTTTGCGTTTTTGGTGGGAGAGTGGGTGACAAGATTGTGGCACAAAAGGAGGGCCCGACGGTCCCGTTTTCAGAATGAAATCTGGAAAATTAGGGGTGGCTGAGTAGGAAAAGGTCCACGAGAAAAGGTCCACGGGTGTATTTTGCTGCTGAGTTTTGAAGCAAGTTCTACGTAGCGCGTTAAACCTATCATCACACCACCTCCAATCGCACGTGGCATGGAAGTGACAGGTTTTCCGGCGTCGCGACATGGACTATAGCGCGTTGACTCATTAACAATGGCGGAAATCCAACAACTGAACTGCTGTCACCAAACAACAGCCAGGTGCCCAAGCAAAGCACGCTCCTAAAAAGGCCCAGTTCTCATCATTCCCATCATTCTCATGTGGTGGCGCCAGGCACAACTCCAAGCGACTGCAGCCAACTGGTGTTGCATCAACTTCATCCAACTTTGTCAATGCATCAACTTAAGATGGATCTGATGTACTTGAGGGAGGACGGACCGAAAGCCAGCACCCTTTGCCAGAAGTGACGCTGCCCTTGCACCAGCCCTCCGTTGTTTAATCAACGCATTCGGTTGGAAAGTTCAAATCCTCCAGTCAGCTTTGCAATATTGTATATTCCAAATGAGAATGCGTAGGGTGAGTTCGATCCAATCGCAAAAAACTGCACAGACTTGTTAGTGATGGACCTTGCATAGCTGAACAGGGCACCCATCAAAACGCAAAGACAGCGAGCACAACAGTTTGAACTGGCCTACATGATGATTTTGTAGCGGATGCAGGTCAAGAAGCCAAACAATAACATGTGTCTTCGACATTTTGCCGCCCTTCCCACGATGGCATAGCATCCTCACGGATGGAAAGCCGCGCGATTGACATGCCTCAAGCGTTTTGGCCCACGAGCGCCGAAGTCAATGCTTCGAAGCAGCCGAGCCGCGCAATCCAACATTTGGCACCACGGCCATCCAGCAACTGAATCAGTGGTATTGCAGGTCTTCCGGGCAAGCAACAAATGAAGCCTACATGATGCGTGCGCGATGCAATTGGTGGAGTATTTCTAGATTGATCTGATCCATTTGCGGGATCCCCATTGACGAGCCACCATACTCAAGCCAGGTCCGATATTACTTATATGTTTGTGCGATTCGGCTGTCATACATGCCTGTTAATGCGTGTTCTAGGAACGTGACCTAAAGTCTGTGTTCTGGGGAATCTTCTCCAAGTTCCTGGCTTCCTTCAGGTGTTCACCCGCCACAGTGGACACAGTCTGGTCGATGTGTGATGTTCGTCCGGTTGCTTGGGTCCTCGTTCACAGGGAGGACAACAAAGCAGCCATTCTTTTGCACCACTGAGCTGTGTTTTGTTTGCTTTGGCCAGGTGCGGAGCGTGCCCGTGGCGCCTATGTGAATTCCAGTTGCACGACGCTTGCCGTGGGGCTGGCCGAGAGCAACGTGCCCTCGATTTCATCTTGGTCCCACGTTTGCGGGAAATTCTTATGACACCTATCACAGTATCCCCAGGGACCTACCACCTGATGGATCCTTGGGAGGCTTAGATTGGTTGAACAGACAAACAAGCACAGGGAGAGAGAAAGAGACAGACAGACAGCCGGCCGGCCGGACGGACAGACACACGGACACACGGACACACGGACACACGGACACACGGACACACGGACACACGGACACGCGGACACACGGACACACGGACACACCCAGACACGCAGACACGCAGACACACACAGATACACACAGACACACACAGACACACACAGACACACACAGACACACACACAGACACACACACAGACACACAGACACACACACACAGACACACACAGACACACACACACACACAGACACACCGACACACAGACAGACAGACAGACAGGCAGACAGGCAGGCAGGCAGGCAGGCAGACAGACAGACAGACAGACAGACAGAGACAGACAGAGACAGACAAGACAGACAGAGACAGACAGAGACAGACAGAGACAGACAGGGACAGACAGAGACAGACAGAGACAGACAGAGGCATACAGACAAACACAGACAGACAGAGACAGACAGAGACAGACAGAGACAGACAGAGACAGACAGAGGCAGACAGAGGCAGACAGACAGACACAGACAGGCAGACAGACAGACCCACGGACACACAGACACCCAGACACACGGACACACAGACACCCAGACACGCAGACACGCAGACACGCACACACACACACACAGACACGCAGACACAGACACACAGACACACAGACACACACACACAGACACACACAGACACACACACACACACACAGACACACAGACAGACCGAGACACAGACAGACCGACACACAGACAGACAGACAGACAGACAGAGAGACAGAGACAGACAGAGACAGACAGAGACAGACAGAGACAGACAGAGACAGACAGAGATAGGTGGAGACAGGCAGACAACAGACAGAGACAGACGGACAGACGGACAGACAGACACAGACAGACACACACACACACAGACACAGACAGACAGAGACAGAGACTCAGACAGAGGCAGACACGGAGACAGAGAGAGACAGACAGGGAGTGAGCGACAGACAGACGGACGGACACACGGACAGACAGACAGAGAGACAGTGAGACAGCTAGATACAGACACTCTGATACACACACACACACACTCTCAGGAACCCCCACACAATCCACCCATGCGTGCACGGACGCACAGACACACGCATGGATGCAGTCACCCAATCACGCGCTTGTGCGTGCGGATTCCACGCGTACAACGCGTGCACCACCTTCGCTCGCAGAAATGACTTGCAGTTGTTTGGCTCTTTTGACATTCCCACGTTGCTCAGTGCCACCCTTCTGGGTCGGCCGACGCGCAGCCGAGGGCTTGCGCGAAGGCCTGTAGCAGTAGTTTTGCTGTTTGCACGTCTTGACCGCCAGCTGACTAGCCTGAAAAGGAAGGGCTGCAAGCGACTTGCGTTCAGCTTGACGACTGGATAGTTGGCACACCGAAAGTGATCCTATTGACGTTCTATGAACCAAGCGCTTTCCAACACTGTTTCTTTGCTAGTAGGGTTGGCATACAGAGCAGCTGGCAACCCCAGTTGTCAAGTGGCACCTCTGTCTGTTTTGCCCCACTCCCAGTGTCGTTCTAAAGGGGCTGCCTTTTTGTATCAGAGTCACCTGGGCAACTGGGCATTCGTGAAGGGCAATCAACATGAATCGTTACCAGGAGGCCAGCGCTCAACGCTTGCAAGTCTTGGCGAGTGCTCAGAGAAGGAAGCACAGTTTCAGAACTGGGTGTGTCTCAAGGCTCGAGGACCCTCCTAATAGTTTGTTCCCTCCAGCGCGACCAGTCCCTTTAAAAGCCCAAGCAACAGATACCAAACGGTTCGCGAAAGAGACAAACCCAGTCCACTCTTGGAAGCGCGCTGCTGTTCCTCACTCAAGCAGGTTTCTTCCGCAGGGCATCTCCTATCGTTTCACAAATTCACGACGCGCCACCGCAAGTAGCAGTTCCCTGAGAAAGTTTGCCAATGCTCCATCCCTTTGGGTCATTATATTGGGTGTTTCCAGCAAGACACCCACGCATGGCCAAATCCGCTATGGGTGCCCAAGCAAAGCCAATACATGTTGAATCCATTGGGATATTTCCAAGAAACAATGTAAGATGCGCTGAATCCATTTTGAGTTTTTCACATTATGTTTCGCGGCAGCCATGTGGGTGTTTCTAACAATGCCTGGACCTGCTTGATCTATTTGGGCGTTGCCAGCAAGAAACCCGAACATTGCACACGTTGGGTAGAATTCATGCAAATCCAAGAATGCCTGATTCAGTTGCCTGGTTCTAACTAACAAAACCCTACAAATGTTGAAATATATCTCAACAAATGAAAGATACGGGGAGATGGATAGACTGAGAGTGTGATTAGGAATGGCTTGCTGCTCACTCTTTTCTCTTACTCCCTCTATCCCTTCCCTCTACCATTTGAAATACCCAAAGCGACTCAGCCGGGTTTGGATTGTTTGTTTGAACAATCAAATGCGAGGGATTGAACAACTCTGAAATCTAAATTGCACAATGCTTGGATTTCCTGTTAAAAGCATACATCCAAATGAGGCGCGCTTTGGATATTGTGTTGGGAAAAACAACGTGGATTAAACACATGTTTGGGGGGGGGTCAAGAGCAACCAAGATAATATGTGGTAATTGTTTGGGAACTTGATAGCTATGCAAACACTAGGTTAACAAATAGAACAGAGTGATAAGGCACGGGTAAGAACAAGAACATCATAGTTCCACGGCAACCTGTCTGTTTGTGTTTTTCGTTTTTTCTTCTTCTTCCCCTTCTTTGAGGTTCCTTTCCCCTCTGTTTCTCAATCACAGATTTCTTGTCCAAGCATGGGAAGTGACGGAACAGATGAAGGAACGGACGGAATAACGCCTTAAAACTTGGACCGGCTCTCCTTCTCTTTCTACCTCTTCCTTCACATCCGCTTCTCTGAGGCACACACCATCAAATCCAAAACTAAGATAACCACATAATGAGATAGAACATGATCCAACTAGCGCTGATTCCACTTGGATGTGTCCAAAAGAAAACTCCAAGCATTGATCAGCTTTTTTGGCATTCCCAAACAAACATTGATGCTTCCTGAAACACATTCGAGCCAGGCACAATTCAAAACCAAAGGTTGTTTCTAGACAAATTCCGAACATTCTCCATCCATTCAATTCGGGTGTTTCCATTAAAAAGACAAGTACGCCCTGCTATATCCATTTGGGTGTTTCATGTTAAAACATGCTGAATCAATTAGTTTTTCCCAACACTCAATCCACTTGGGTGTTTTGAGCCAAACAAAAAGATGCCGTGAGCAAAGGTCAGAATATTGGTTAAACTGGTTGTTTCCAAACCTTTCCGAAACATGTTCAATCCAGCGCGGTTCGAACAGCAAGTCCGAACAAATGCTCAGTCCCTCCGGGTGTGTCCAACAAATTGTTAACTCACGAATTGTCTTCCAACAGCAGCAACATGCAAATTCCACCTGTTGTTTCCGACCGCAACCATTATTGACGCTTTCGGGCGTTTTTTTAGCAACTCACATGGCTTCAAGGGGGATTTCTTTTGGGCGCTAAGCCAAAAGTCCGGTCTTCTCTTTGTTTGGTTCCTGGGAACTGCCAAAAAGCCCCGCGGCGAAGCATGTTTCAGTTGCTTCACCCAAGGTGTAGCAATCTCACGAGGTGTGAAGTGAGGGGAGCTTCACCGGTTCGGAGTGCAGACTTCAGGCCAGGGTTTTATGTGGCCCCTCTATCTTTGCATGTTTCTATCTTGATGGTTGTTAACATGTCACTAAATGCCCAGGACATGCAGCAATGCAGGGTGATCTCAGGTGCTGTCCTTTCCTGCCCATCATATTGAGCATTATGAAGCGAACGAGCTTGCCATGCGAATTAGCATGAGTTGTTCAAGTGAGTTTGTTTTCTTTCGAGTAGTAGGCTCTGTTCTGCGTGAGTTTGCTTTCGTTTGAGTAGCAGGCTTTGTTCTGTGTGAGTTTGTTTCAAGCTTTCAAGCTTGTTAAGAGGTTGTTGCGTTCTGCCCAGGAGGTTTTGCAAGGACACTGCTGGCTGAAGGCTCCCTTGCTTGGAGTTGCCGTGCAACGGTCTCACAGAAGTGCGTACAAGACTGTGTTGTCTGGCATCGCCGGAAACAGAGGTGGAAACTCTCTCAGCTGAGGCCAAGACAGGCGCTTCCCCAAAAAGTGTTCTGCGGGCGACTTGTGTTCATAGGTGTCCTTTTTGGCTGTTTGGGTAGAAAAATAGTTTTGGTTGTTTTGGTTGTTTTGGTTGTTTTGTTTTTGTTTTGGCCCTGGTTTACCTGGTGGTTTGATCATCTTCCAGGGCCGTCTACGCTTCTGTTGCCCTGTTGATGAAACTGCGGGTTCTGGCTGCGCTTTGGGCAGCGCACCCCTTCAAAGTGAGAGCCGGGGTTGGGTATGGTCACTGAGCGGCAGACATTTGACAATCCTTTTGGCCAGGTGAGGCCCGTCAGGTACCCTCAGACCTGCAGATCATACAATGGGCCATCGGACTACTCGAAATTCAACATCACCCAACTAGCATGGAAGTGCACAAAGTTCAAAGCACATGTCCAAGAGAAAGTGGTCTTTCTACAGGGGTCTGTGCACTTCAATGTCAGTCGGTGGGTGGGTATATTTGCCAAGATGGAGATGCTCTTCCGAGGGTTGGTGTTAAAAGGTCTTTCTCAAACTCAAGCCTTGCTGCCCAAACGGCACACACCTAACTGCCAGCTAGACCTGTGAGAGTGCTTCCGGATGGCGACCTTGGCCATTCTCGTTTTCCCTGCTTGATAACTTTCCCATTGGAGTTGGAGCACGCGCACGGGGTTG